CACAGGCTAATGCGCCACTCTCAAAGATTATACGATAAGGGATGTGAAATTTTCGCAAAACCTCTTTTTGCTTTCCGATGTTCCTTGTTTTGTTTAGCCCTCAGAATACGAAGTGCGCCAAACTCTTAAAGAAGGCATTACCGCTCTTTAAGTTTCCACTCCGTGAGAAGAAGTAGAATTCGGCTCTCCCATCGGGGCCTCTTCGACTCCTCGGATGAAGAGGAGGAGAAGGAGGAGGAGGGTGCTATCTCTGATTCCAGGGAGGTCACGAATGACCTCGACCAGCAGCAGGTGGACTACCAAGCTGCCCAACGTGTGCGTGGGGGGTTCGGTGGTGGCACCCGTCAACCAGGGAGCTGTCGTCAACTCAAGAGAGAATTCGCCTCCCGAGGAGAGCTCTGGGGCTGACCTCTTCCTAGAGCTTCTTGTCGCTCCTCGTGGCCTTGTGGGCGGCCACACTTCTAGGGGCATTTACGAACGTGCCCTTGTTCAAAAAGAACAGTTGTTCGCTGAGAACTTGGAGGCTGCTCGCTCGGTGTGTGCTCCTTGCGCCACACCGCATCCCCCTTAAGGACTTTACGACTTGTCGCAAGAAGCCCGAGAACCGGGGTGGTCTCAACCCTCTTTGGGGCTACCCCTGGGTTCTACCCGAGAACTGCCCCACTTGGCGTTCTTGTGAGGACATGTTCTGGGCTTGGATGGAGTCTCTCAAGTACTCACCCACGGAGTTACGGGAACTCCATGAAATCAGCTGCTGTCCTGCATCCTGGACCAGCGTGATCTTCGTGTTCGCTTTGCTCACTTGGTCAGCAAGCGCATGCTGCCAAGGGACAACCTGAAGCGCGCGGCATCTAGCGCCCATGATGTGCGCGGGTACGGAATGTATTCATCGTCCGTACCCCGTTCGGGCAAGAAGCCCCGGACTACTTATGAAGCTGCCGCCGCTTCTGTTCCTAGATTGCGACAGCCTTCGGTCAGTCAATCCGGAGCCGTTCAATCGGCTCCCACGCGTTTTCGGAGTGGGTATAACCCCTCCACTTCAGGAGGAGCTGTCGCTTACTGCGACGCCGTTGCTCCTGGAGGATCCGCTCCACGTGGAAGTGGAATTCTCCATTCTGGTCAAGCAGGGGCGGAGGTGCCCTCGTACAAGTACGAGTACTCGGCGCCTCCTGAACATCACTCTCGTCCGAGTGCTCCGGCGGCGGGTCCGACAGAGGGCCTTGAGGTTGACCGCCTCCGTCAGCGTGTCCTCGTGCTTGAGATCGCACTTGGCCTTGGGACTGGCGGTGATGCTGCCGCCCAGACCAGGAATCAGGGCGAGCTCGCTCGTCTTGCGGGCCGCCTGGACCTGCTGGAGCGTGAGGTCGCGACCCTGCATCTGCGGGTGGATCGCCGGGCCTCTTCGACCGATCTGGACGAGGGCTTCCGCATGGTCCGACGGATCGAGGCTCTGTTGCCACGTCCGGAGCAGCCTTCGACGCACTCCCAGACGTACGCGTATGGTGCGTACCCGGCGTACCCAGCGTACTCGGCGTATGGCTCCGGGGATCGCTCGTACGGAGCCCCTCCCTGCGTACGGTCTTTGTCCGCAGCATTGCTATTCAGCCCGAGGCTTTCGGCGCCTGCTCCGACGCCCTCGTCGATGTCTGTGACCCGCCATCGATTTGAGGAGCTGGGCCAAGGTGGGTCTGCGAGTCAGCAGCCCCCTGCGGATCAAAGTACCGCTTAAGACGTCCAACATAGAACCTCGGGTGCGTCGTCATTGACTTAGGCAGGTCGATGGTGTACGACGCACCATGTCTGGCCAGGACTGCAAATGGTCCGATGATGCGGTGCTTCAGCTTGTTGCTGCCGACAGAGCTGACAGTGTCAAGAGGTAGGTTCCTCATGTCTAGTAACACTAAGTCCCCCCCCCTCTATACACTTAAGTTTCCTCTTCCATGTTTGTCCGAGTACTCCTTTTGTCTATCCTGGGCCGCTGTCATGGCATCGCGGACCCTGCTGACAATGCTCAGCTTGGTACCCATAAAGGATTCCACTTGTTTCCGCAGCGAAACTGGTCTCACATCCGAGACCTGGGAGGAAAGGGCTTTCCGAGCCACTCCCCCACTTAGAATAGAGGAGTCCGTGTCTCCTCGAAGAGTGAGAGGCACTCTAGGGTGACGGAAGCCGTTCAAGTAGAACGGCGTGAACCCCGTGGACGCGTGCACCGCGTTGTTGAGCGCAAACTCAACAACTGGAAGCTGCGTCGACCACGTACGTGGTGCTGCCGCGCACACACTGCGCAGAGTGTCCTCGAGCACTCGATTGGCGCGCTCTGTCTGGCCGTCTGTCTGCAAATGGTCCGCAGTGGACATCTGCTGACGAGTTCCCAGTAAAGGGAACAGCATTTTCCAAAACGCAGCAGTGAACCGCGGGTCACGGTCCGAGAAAATCGTCTCCGGGAGACCGTGATAGCGGAACTCGCCATCGACGAACAACTTTGCGGTTTGTTCGCCTCTAACAGTGGCGGGAACCGGAGCAAGATGGTACATCTTGCTCAGCCGACACACAAACACCAAAATTCCGGTGTTGCCGTGTCCGTCGGCGGGAAGCCCAACGATGAAGTCAAGACTCATCGACTTCCAAG